GCTGCTGCTGCTTGGTTGGGAAGCCAGTGCGGAGGCTGGAGGTGTGAGTCCGGTGTGTGCGTCTGCCTACGCTGATCTGGGTTTATCTGGTACTGACAAGCCTGGCTGAGAAGGTGCCACAGCACCCGCTGCAGCAGGACTTGGACAGGCTCTTCAGGACTCGCTAGTTCATACTAGGGCAGCAAGCTTATATTAAACCCTGCACTGATGTGGTTTTTTGTGAGATTCTCATCTCAGGTAGCTCGACTGTAGCTAGCTTGAGTTTGCCTGCAAGTGCTGTGGTCTTATCTACAGTTGCGTTGCCCAGTTCCCCCCGGAAATGTGCAAAAAATGAACATTTAGAACATGCATGGAAAAAACATCAAGGTGATGTATCTTACTTGATCAAACACAGCTTAAGTGAATTAAATAGCCTGTTAAACTTATGTATCAGGTTGCTCTTGCTAGAAGAGTGCAGCCTATGTTCACATGCCTGTTTCATACTGTAGGATGAACAAAACACGTAAATTTCTTGATGCCAGTTGCAAATATTTGTCAGCAATTTCTTTTGTGTATGTTTTTCACTAGTCCATATTCCAGAAGGTGTAAGAAGTCAAGCCACGATGATTTTTTGTTAACAATTGAAAAACCAGGTGTATGATGCTACCTAAAGAATACACCATAATGTGAACAAGTGTTGTAAGTGTCATAGCTTGTAGAATATAATAAAACCAGCTAAATGTCACCGGCTGTACCAAGGCAGAAAGACATCTGCGTTGCTACCTTGCTTGTGAAGTGCAGCACTTAAGGCAATGTTGTTGAGTGTACATGTATCACTTCAATTCACCTACCTTACACTTTGATTTCTTCCTGCTCCTCATTTAGTTTTGTTCCACTGAGATAGTGCAGTAGAATAGTTTAACACATTGTTGGCAGTTAGTAGTTTCAGAGCCATATAACAAAAAGGGTATTTAGTGAAAGGGAATCGTAGACAGATGAGAGAACATTTCTCTCCATTCTGAATTCTCAGCCTTGTACTGCTGTCACCAGCATTTTTCTGGACCATTCTCATTTTTAAAAATCAAAATTATACAGTATGAAGGCAGTTTCAGGATGAGGATAAGATTGTTTGTACTTTTAAATTAATACTAGAAGTTAATATTGTTGATATTTTGGAGTATTTTTATGTTAATTTAGTAAGAATAAATTGTATCCCTGCTCTCAGGAAAGACGCCATGAGGGTTAAAATTAAGAAAAGTAGATGTTGTTACGTTTGGATAGATCTCTTATTTTATCAACTTCATTTTACAATTTTCTCTTCTTAACTTAATCTTCCAGCCTCTAAACTATGTATGAGGATTTGGGACTATAAAAACCAGAAAAATCAAAAGGACAATGAATTCTTAGCGCCAAAGAACAATTACATATTGAATATAAAATTTAAAGGAGGGAAGAACCTGCAAAATTGTAGAAATATGTTGCAAAAGTCTTGCTGGCAGAATTTTGCACCGCTGCACATACTATAACTTGTATTTCAGTCTAGTAAACAGCACATTAGAGCTTAATACTCTATAAAATTCCCAGGAATAGATTATGCCACAATACAATAAAATGTCTGAGATGGAGGATCAGGTTACAATAATGACATAACCAGATGTAAAAATTGTATCATCAGCCTGTCACTGCCTCTTTGAATCCTTTAGTAGCTGGCTTTCTCCTGAAGCAACCCTAAATGCATTCAGTGGAAAGCTTTTGCTTGAGCAAGTGTCTCCATTTCTCTTGAGCTGGACTTCTTGACTCCTCATCCAAATCTTCTGCTTAATACTAGTTTTTGAAACCCGTTTGCTTTGTAAATCTTTGCAATAGGCTTTGTTTGGTAACCTTTTAACCCCTCTAGTTGAATTCATGGCAGGTCCATTACCTGCTGCTGTGCCGGGACTGGAGAGGCTACTGCATCCTTCTTTTCTTTCCTTTAACACTTTGGGGGAAGTCAGTTCATCTCCCTGTGCTTCAGGTTTCTTATCAGAAATATGATAGCAACTTTTTTTAATCTGGATTTTGATATTTTCTACGGGGATTTTCTTAGTGCATGGCTTACATCTGAGGAAATCTTTGCTTAGTAGCTAGTATGACTGCTGTGAATAATTAACAGAGATCCTAGTATCTCCTCTGTCAGGACTCCAAATTATTTTGTTGCCATACTTCATAAAACTTATTTGAGGTGATAATGTATGCCCTGCAGGATGAGGATGGTGTGTTATAATTTCTACTACAATTTTTATAGATTATGGAAAATTATTAAAAGATAAGACTATAAAAAATTGCACAATGTGTTTTGAATTTTTAATATATTCTAAAGAGCGTTGCAAAGACATGAAGTTAAATATTTGCAGTATAGCATGAAGGTCAATATGTGGATTATAATCACTCCCAGATAGCATTTGATATAGGTAATGCTTCTACTAAAACATGATTTATTAAAATGTTTTTGCCATAAATGTTTTTGTTCTGTTTGGGGAAATGGGATGAACAATATGACCTCCTTTGTTTGCTTCTGAGATCTCAATCCATGTTTCTTTTTTTTTGTTTCTTTTGTTTGTTTTTTTTTCTTTTGATCCTTTGCAAAGAGCTGGAATGATGTCCTTCTGGACACTGCTAAATCACCCTGAGAGATTACTCAGAGGACTCATAAAAACATTTGCTGAGAACAGATTTTAATGTTTTAGCAATGATCCAGTTAGTCTAAAATTGGTATTACCTCTACATGGTTGCATGTTGTGCTGGAGGATGCTCGCCAGCCATGGGTAGACTCTGTAGTGGGAATGGGTAAAAGTTTGCCATTGTCAATAGCAAATGTTTCCTGGGACTTCAGCTTATACCCAAATCATCCTGAGTGGATTTGGTCTACGATTTTGGTTCAGATACCTGTAGAAGCAACCAAATAGGCAAATGTCTCTTGGGAGCAGAAAAAAGCATTAATCAAATTAATAGCAACAGGATACTGGGGTTTTCATAGATATGAAAGTTGTATAATTGAATAGTAAACAATGGATCACATCCAGAAAATTTAAAGAAGGCAATGCTTAGCAAAATGTGAGTAGCCTTTTGGGGACCTCTGAACTATAAAAGACGATGTTGTGATGTGGGAAATTATGCTTTTGTTGTTTGGCTCGAAATTACAGTTTGAAGAAGTGTTACTTAGCTGTGTATCCAGTAAGTCCATCACTACTTGCAATTAAGTAGGTAGAAAAAGTTTTTTGGGGAAAGAAGTAAGAGCACTATGTAGAAATCAGTGGTCATGGAATGCTGTACTCTAAAGCATCCCTTACCTCTTCGGAGTATCACTCAGTTAATAATCAATAAAGGTTGGGAATCAGACCAAAGAAAATAGTCACCCATTAAGCCAGTTTCTGTTGTTGTCTGCCTGGAAAGGTGCTCTATCAGAATTGTCAGAGAGGGATTCCAAAAATTGTAATTGAGTAGTCATGCAGACAATACGTATATGTTGCAAAAATGCAAAGGGTGAAATATTTTTTCAGTGAAATAATAATCTCATTAGTTTTCTTAGAAGAGATCCGGCACAGATCTGGCAGAAACAGGTAAGAAATGCATGCAAAATCAGATGCTTCAACTTGTAATTGTCAGAAGTTTCCTTTACTCTACTTCCAGGTCTGCAAAACACTTCTTTATTCTGTTCCCATAGGTGCCTATCTACCTAATCTGAGGGAACTGAAGTTGAACAATAGCTTGCTTGTGTCTGTGAGGTAAGAAATGAATGATGACTGAAATAAACATAAAGAATAACAGTCCTCAGTTTTACTTAAGTGATAAAATCTTCATTTGTGCTGCTTTCATTTCTTCCATTTCCCCATGCCGTGATAATGGATTAGGTCATGAATATATGCTCCTCAACCACATAAGTTTAAGGACAGAACCTGAGCTGGAATAAATCAGTGTAGCTGCAATTGTGCAAATGAATTAGCCTCAGTTTGCCACCAGGAAAGTTCCTGCTGTGCTGAAGTCCATGGAAATTTGTTGCAAATTTCAAAGGAGCTAGATATTTGACTCATACCTATGTCTAGGCGCTTGGATTTCAGAGTGTTTCAGGCTTCGGGGTTTTATTGTGCACAGTAGCCTGTTCTATACAGGTCAGACCAGTTCCTCCACTGATGAAAATCACTTTGGCTTTACTGAAGTCAGTGAAGCTGGGTTTATGAGAGCTGCTATGAAGACTGCATGTCCCTGGCTTGCTGAGCTCAGTGAAAGCATCACACGTTTTCTCCCAGAGAAATGGGGAGCTGGCAGGTTGGAAAGATAGAAATGAAAATCATCACAATGAGGAGTTAGACCTGTCTTCTCTCTCCTGTGCTGGTATCTGTATTACCCTTGGTAGTTGACGCATAGTGGAAAAGTACAGTTCATATCAGTAAAGGGCTGCGCAAATGGCAGTCTTTATGTTAAATAGGACTGGTCTCTGGCTTTGTATGGCTATCTGCTAAATTTTGGGGGAAAAAATAGTGATATTTCTAATTCTTGTTAAAGAGAACAGGTTCCTTAATGAGGAACAGCAATAAATTCTTCTTAGTCTCATGTATCATTACTAAAGAAGCTAATGAACTTCAGTGGTCACACTTTGATCTTACTTTCCCTTGCTCTGGTGATGAGATGAATTATTTGCAGTCGAATGTTTTTTTTTCCACATTCCAGTCCATAACATGGAAAAGTGGCGATTCTACATTGCTGCAATTATTTTAATGGCAACCCACCACTGTCATAAGCATGAATTTGCTCTATTATTGCAATGGAGGAGTAAGTAGTGGGTGAAAAAATGAATATTTTTGACATGATCAAAAGACATTTTATTATATTAAAAAGAAAAAAAATGAAAAGGTTTTTTTTGTTTGGTCAAAAATCCATACTCTCTTGAAATGTGTCAATGGAAAGTGTTTTGACCAGTTCTGTTGATACTGAATACAGGATGCAGTTCAGGAAAACTACACTGTTTATTTGACTTATGGCTTTAGTAGGATTTTGCACATCCCTTTGTATTCTGAGACTCTACTTTTTGTCATGAAAAATTTTGGCAAACCATTTTCTGTGACCTGACATCCTTGGTGCAGGTAACATTTGGTCTCAAGTTGAGTTTTGATTTGGTCAACTGTAATGTAAATATGTTTTGGCTTGGATATCAAATCTAATATTGTGACACTTCCCAGGCACACAAACCCCAGGAGAAGCTGCCTGCTCCTCCTTGAAATAACCGTGCTTTCTGTGTGCCAGTTAAATATCACTGTTGGGGAATAAGTAAAGGAAGAAGATTCTGTTCTGTAAGTTCTCCCAGATCAGAACTTGTTTAGTACAGTACAACAGCAGCTTTCCTTTATTAATTCCTGTCTTTGACAATCTGTCATTGATAAACACAGATCACTTAAAGGTACAACCGATGCAAGCACAGCCTGGGTACTTGAACTTTATTTTTGGTTGTCTGCGTCATGTCAATTTAATGCTCATTAAAGCAACATTGCTGTTGCGGCAGTAGTGATGTCTGCTATAGCTAATGTAACATAGCTGCTTCCATTCTAGCAGACTGTTGCCATTTACTCAAAATGTTTAGAAATCTTATTTCTGAATTAATCTTGTTGATGTTTTGACCAAACCCTTGCAACTGGGGTTTTTGAGGATGATAGAATAAGTGTTCTTCCTTCTCACTAAAAGTAATTCCCACAGACTTTCTCAGCTATAAGGTCAGAATCATTGAGGTTGTAGTTTGAAAATGGGCAGCAGATAACAGGAAATGTCTTGTAAGGACAGACTGGAAGATTGGTTTGTTTACTGAAAAGAAGGTAATGACACAAAAGCAGGCAAAAGGTTGAGGGTGTTTTGTATATACTTGGGGTGTTAAAAGCAGACATTCTTTTCATGCTATATTATGTGACCAAAATGTGTTATGGTGAATCATTATGAACAAAAGACTGTCAGTGTGTGTGCATGAGTGGGTAATAAGATGGGAAACTTGCTTTTTGTAATTTTATTTTTGTTTCATTCTGTCTTGCAGAGTAGAATTTCCTAATATTTTAAGATGAAATAGAATTAAAACATCTTTTTTCAATTTGAAAATGGGGGAAGTATTCTCTTGATAGTAAACTGCATATAGGGATGTGTCAAAATAAGAATTTATGATCCTGTCATGGTTTAACCCAGCAGCCGGCAACTAGGGCCTGACAGCTGCTCACTCATCCCTCCCTTTCCCCTCCAGGGGGATGGAAGGGAGAAATGGCCAAAAGGTAAAACTCATGGGCTGAGATAAAGACAGTTTAATAGGACAACACAGGAAATGCTACTACTAATAATACTAAAGTTCAAACCCCCAGACAAGAAAGGATTGAACCCATGGAAATGAGAAAGAAAAGATTCCTGCCCCCAGCCAACCCCCATTCATAAACTGAGCATGATGTCCATGCTATGGAATATTTCCACTGGCCAGCTTGGGCTCGCTGCCTGGCTATGCTCCCGCCCAGCTGCTGCACCCCTGCTCGTTAGCTGAGTAAGGGAGACCAGAAAAAGTCCTTGATTTCATAGCAACAACTGAAAACATCAGTGTTATCAACATTCTTCTCTTACTAAATCCAAAACACTGCAGCTACTGGGAGGAAAATTAACTCTATCCCAGCCGAAACCAGGACAGATCCTGACTTTAATTACTGATTTTTTTTTGAAACTTTTACTCCTGTCAACCTCACATAGGAACTGAAGTTGTGAGGATGCTGAGGTGTGTGTTGCCATTCGCCGTTTGGTAGAAATCAAAGGAGGGATGTTCTGGCAGTGAGGAATCAAGGTACTCATGTGTTACAATTTTATGTGGGAGAGCAAGGCTTGCTAGGTCGGTGAGTTTGGACATGGGCTTTTCCTGATAGTTCCTGAAGGAGTTCTGATTCCTTTGGTGGGGAATGTGGGTGAGCTACCTTAGTTGTAAATTCATGGTCTCTCCCCAAACTTCATAAAGCTTGCGTTGCCTTTGAATACTTGAAACTTTGAAAGACTGTATATAAAGTGCAGAATATCATTATCAACTATTTAATTTAATCCATAAGGAAAATATATCCAAGTTTATTTGCAGATAATCCATCTTGGCAGCTGAAAAGGAATTTCTTTTTTGTCTGTTTGTGGGTTTTAGTTTTCTACTGGCCCTTTGCTAAGGGGGAACAGCTCTGGAAAATCAGTTCAGATAGTTGTTAATTTTCTAAATGACACTAATTTTATGAGGTCCTTGTTTGGTGACCTTCGCCTATCTGCTAGCAGCTAAGAAATTCTAGATTTATGTACTGATAATTGAGAATGAAATATGGAGCCTATTCTGAAGGGTGCCTGAAAAAAATGCCTTTTTTTTTTTTTATTTTGTGATGACACAAGGTCTTGGTCTTTGTAATGTTTCCAGTAGAAGAACTATATTTCCAGGCCAATGAATTACTAACTTCTGATTTGGCATGTCGTCTATGTACTTTTTTGTCAGTTTGCTCTTATTCTCAATTCAGGAATGAATGAAAAGATCTGTTTAAAAATGTTAGATAGATATCTTTATGAAAGGGCTTTTAAATCACATGGGGGAATCTCAGGAACTGGTTTCCGTAAGTTTATAGCAGAAGCTGTTTCACCAACTGAAGTTCATTTCCTTCCGTTCAGCTCCATGCATTGAAGCCAGCAGAAGACTGGTCTGCTCCCAGGGCTACTTAAGCAACTGCGTTTATAACAGAGAAAGGTTATTATAAGTGAGATGAAGTGCAGATACTGCAGAATGTGGGGACAAAAGTTAATATGGAGGTTATAGGGAAAGGAAAGCAGGTCTCCTTCATCCAGATAGAGTTAACATTTCTTTGCTGCAGCCTGCATTGCATACAGTTCTCAAATTGCTCTTGCCCTATTGCAGAAGAGTCCCCCAGAACAAGAGGACAGTAATCTTGATCCATTGGGGTCAGTAAAGTCATCATGGGAGAGTGGAAATGAAACAGCCGTCCTGAAGGTGTAAATGAGCAATGTACAAAGTACATTTCAAGTTCAACAATTCTCATGCTTTTAGAAGTCAGGATAGAATTTTTTTTATTATTTTTTTTTAACACCAGCCCCTGGAGACAAGACTGGCCACACAGGAATCTCTATATCCACTTTTTGAAAAGTTTCTAGCCATCTTGACTGTGGAAAAAATAACTGAAAATGTGAGCCAAGTGATTTGAGTAAGGATTTTGCTGATCAATTCATGACTTTAAGAAACCAGAGCCAAGCTAATTCTTTCTTAATTGAGGGCAAGGGCTTTAAACCAATGTTTAAAAATATTTTTGAGACCTCAGTCAGGATCTTTAGGAATTTAAACTCAACAATATTACTTCTTGGCACTCAACAATATTACTTCTTGGCACTTATTATCCAACATAGAGTTTAAGCAAATGCTTACTTCTTAAAGTCACAAGAAGTTTGACTTCAGTGGAGAGGCTCACAAGCTGAAAATTGAACATTGATCCAAGTGCTTTGCTGGATCTGGACGAAGATACACCAGCTTGTATAAGACTGAGCCGTGACACTGATCAGCCCAAAATTTGATATATTGCTGATAGTGTGTGTCTAGGCACCCACTATTTGCTGGCTCATTTTCTCTCAAACAGAAGAGATTTGGGAGCATCGTTCCCATAAATTTGTTTTTTCCTTGTAATTTTTCCTCATTCCTTTCCTTGCTCTGTTGTTAGTCCACTTCACTTTTTCTTCTGCCTGTCAT